GTGCGTGCGTGCGTGCGTGCGTGCGTGCGTGCGTGCGTGCGTGCGTGCGTGCGTGCGTGCGTGCGTGCGTGCGTGCGTGCGTGCGTGCGTGCGTGCGTGCGTGCGAGCGGGCGTGCGTGCGTGCGTGCGTGCGTGCGTGCGTGCGTGCGTGCGTGCGTGCGTGCGTGCGTGCGTGCGTGCGTGCGTGCGTGCGTGCGTGCGCGCGTGTGTGTGTGTGTGTGTCTTCTCCTCTTCCTCGACACACTGAGGACGCCATGATTCCAGAGTACGCCCCGTGACTGGCCCCGCCGCCCAACCCCGCCCCACCCTGGCCACGTCGCGAAGCAAGCACTACATAGCTGGTGGTCGGCGACCGCAGGCACAAGAACTGCTGTAATGTGGTCCGGGAGATCCGCTAGAACCGAATCCAACAGCGAAGGACCTCTCGTAGGTTTTTTGGACACGCTCTGTGAAGCCACGCCCGGAGCACCAAGGCTGCATTCTGACTCCCGCTGGGCTCACCTGCCGAGAAAAACGTAGGCACTTCTTACTATGGAGGTTGGAATCGCCAATAAGGACAACACGAACTGCTGAACCCGACACCCTTGAAAAGCATCCTTGGCATCGGTGATCTTCTGACCCGGGTCCATCCAGACCCGGGTCAGTCAGGCCTTGCAGAATCCTGCAAGATCTTGCACCCAAGCCCGGGCCAACGCGAAGGATCCTGCAAAATCCTGCAGGATCCTGCACCCAAGCCCGGGTCAATGCGACCCTGTCCCTGCATGCAGGACCTATGTTGCTTCACATCAGCAATTTGGCCCCTGCTGACTTTTAAAAAAAAATATTGGGATGAAACGCTGCCGCTGGATATATCGAGCACAGTTGATCACAACATCCTGCAGCTGCGATCCTGCAGGATCCTGCAGCTGCAGGATCCTGCAAGATCGGGCGCTGTGGCTGACCCCCGTTTGCACTGACCCCCGTCTCAAGGCTCCCGACGATGGCAAACACGAGACCCTCCGCCGGCCGAGCTGCAGAACACCACTCGACAACACCCACCCCCCCAAAGGGTGAACACGAGCAGCGATCAAAAACGAAGCACGCTCGGGTGCCCTCCCCGCACCGCCCTCGATCTTCCAAGACCCCCGACAGCGCGATGTTCTTCACACAGCCGGGGCGTTGACCTGAGGAACCCTGAATAAGGAACGAGGCCCCCTTTTTCCCCAGGAGTTACACTTCGATCTCCATGGCCCGGGGTAGCTCGGGTCTGGACTCCCGAAAAACGAACCCGAGTTCGCCCTGACCCGAATTATCCCTATGATTCGGGGTTCTGGGCGCCCGAGTTATCCGGGGTAACTCGGGCCCGGGGCAGCTCGGGTCTGGATTCCCGAAAAACGAACCCGAGTTAGCCCTGACCCGAGTTACCCCTGATGATTCGGGGCTCTGACAAAGGGTGAACACGAACAGCGGTCAAAAACGAAGAACACTCGGGTGCCCTCGCCGAACCGCCCTCGATCTGCCCAGACCCCCGACGGCGCGAGTTTCTTCATGACGCCGACCCCCAGAAGACTCGACCCCTTCCCCGAGACCGGCGCTTCCTCCTGCGTCGTCTGTTGACTGAAGGGGCCCTGGGACACACAAATAAATACACACAAATAACAAGATTCCCCATATTTTCCCATATTTGCTGGTTTTCTGTCTTCCCCCCACTTCCCATATGTTCGCATATTTTCTGGGAATCGACGAATAATTGTGCCTGTGTGTTTTTCCCCCTCTTGATTGACAGCCCCGAGGCCTGAGCAGGGCCCCCGGAGGCCGAAGATGACGAAAAACCTCCCGTCGCGACTTCTGCACAGCGCGAGGAGGTTTGGGTCCGCATCGCCAGGGAGGGGGGAGGAGGGAGGAGGGAGGAGGAGGAGGAGGAGGAGGAGGAGAGAGGAGGGAGGAGGAGGAGGAGGAGGAGGAGGAGGAGCGGAGGAGGAGGAGGAGGAGGAGGAGGAGGAGGGAGGAGGAGAAGGAGAAGGAGAAGGAGGAGGGAGGAGGGAGGAGGAGGAGGGGGAGGAGGGAGGAGGGAGGAGGGAGGAGGGGGAGGAGGGAGGAGGGTTCGGTCCGGCTCTCCTCGAAAGCAGGGTGCACGACCTCGACAGCCCGGGGGGTGCTCTGCTCATGAGCGGCACAGCCCAGAGGGAGGAGGGAGGAGGGAGGAGCGAGGACCGACAAACCGTCTCCTGGCCAAGAGGCGCGGGCGCCCGGCGGCCCGCCTCTCCACGCAGGCCGCGGCCGCCTGGCGGGCGGCCGCCGCCTCCCGCCGCCCAGCCTCTGCCACCTGGCGCACCGGCGATGCCCCCCGCGTCGTCGTCGTCGTCGTCGTCGGCCGTCGTCGTCGCCGTCGTCGCCGCCGCCGCCGCCGCTGCCGCCGCCGACACTGTCATCGTCCAGGCTGTCGTCGCCGCTGCCGCCGTCACTGTCATCGTCCAGGCTGTCGTCGCCGCCGCCGTGGCCGCCGCCGTCGCCGTCGTCGTCGGGGCCATCATGGCCATCGCCGCCGACGCCGTCGTCGTCCTCGTTCTCGTCGCCGCCGCCGCCGCCGCCGCCGCCGCCGCCCACGCCGTCGTCGTCGTACCCGTTTTCGTCGCCGCCACCATCGTCGTCGTCGTCACTGCCGCCGCCGTCGTCGCCGTCGCCGCCGCCGTCATCGCTGCCGTTATAGCCGTCGCCGCCACCGCCGCCGTCGCCGTCGTCGTCGTCGTCGTCGCCGTCGCCGTCGCGGCCATCGCCGCCGACGCCGTCGTCGTCGTCCAAATGTTCGTCGCCGCCGCCGCCGTCGTCGTCGCCGTCATCCTCGCCGCCGTCGTGGCCGTCACCGCCGAATACGTCGTCATGGTCGTCGCCGGTGCCGCCGCCGTCGTCGCCGCCGCCGCTGTCACCGCCGCCGTCGTTGCCGTCACCGCCGAATCCGTCGTCGTGAAGGTTTTCGTCGCCGCCGCCGTCGCCGTCGCCGCCAGCGTCGTCGCCGTCGTCGTCGTCGTCGCCGTCGTGGCCGCCGCCACCAAAGCCGTCGACGTCGTCCTTGTAGTCGTCGCCGCCGACGTCGCCGCCTCCTCCGCTTCTGTCGTCGTCGCCGCCGCCGCCGCCGTCGCCGCCGTCGTTGTCGTCTCCGCCGCCGCCGCCGTGTGTCGTATTCGTTGTCGTCGCCGCGGCGGCCGCCGCCGCCGCCATCGTCGCCATCGTCGTCCAGGTTGTCGTCGTCGCCTCCGCCGCCGCCGCCGTCGGCGCCGTCGTCGTCGTCGTCATCGCAGCCGTCGTCGCCGGCGTCGCCTTCGTAGTCATCGTCGCCTTCGTCGTCGTGGTCGCCGCCGACGCCGCCACCATCGTCCACGACGCCGCCGCGGTCGTCGCCTCTATCGTCGTTGTCACCGTCGCCGTCGTCGCCGCCATCGCCGCGACCGCCGTCGTCGCTGCTGTCGCCACCGCCGACACCGTCGTCGTCGTCGTCGTCGTCGTCGACGTCGCCAGCCGAAACCGCGGCCGCCGTTCTCGTCGTGTTCGTCGTCGTCGTCGCCTCCACCGCCGCCATCGCGATGGGAGAGAGAGAGAGAGAGAGAGACCAACAAAGAAAACGACACAAAGGGAAGCTTGTGTGGGAGCATGTGTATACACGTGCCATGCCATGCGGCGTCCTGATTCTTTCAGGACGGCGTCTATCTTTTACTAGTTTTGACCAAGGACAGGCCCAACGTAAGCTCAGACCCGATACTCCACGGATCGACGTCGGAATTCCGTCCGGTTCCGCCCCCTCGGGCGCCAAGAAGATGTCTCGGGCGCATTGCTCTGTTTCGTGCCGGCTGTTTTGGCTCGGTGAATGCTCCTCGATGGTCCCCGCCGAGAAAAAAAGGACACGTCCGAGCGGTGCCAAGGAAATGTCTCGGGCGCCGCGGCTTCCTCAGAGCGATCCAGAAGGCTCCGAGAGCGTTCCGGAGCGCTCTGGACGGATTGATCCTGGTCCTAGCCCCGTCCGACTATAGAATCTGGCACGGGTCCCGGACGAGAGGGGGCCCCAGGAGCACTACCCGTCGGTCGGAGCACGTGGATGGAAACATAAAGCAGGAAGGCGTTCAAGTAGATTGGGCTTCCACCCGCCCCCTGAAGAGCCCTGAAAAGCAGGGAAGAAGGAAAGCCGCTCGACTCTCGAAGTGGGAAGGAGCACGAAGTAGATTTTAGGATCTGTGTTACCAGAAATACCTACTTCAACGACCGACGGGTACGACGACAATCCTGGAGGCCTCGCGCGGCAACTCGAGATCCAATTTACGTCGGATCCACGTAGGATTTCCGTCGGGTTCGCGTCGGATTGGCATCGGATTCACGTCGGACTCAAGACGAATGTAGGTCAGAACCGCGCCGCGCGAACGTCGTCCCATATCTTACTTTGGACGCCCGAAATGAGTACGGGAAAAAATGGCACAATGCCCAACAACAAATGTTGTCCCAAACCAACAGCGGCCGCTGTTGGACAGGCGGCCTTCTGTCTCAAATGGACACAGGCCGCGGCGTCACCGACAGCGCGTCCTGTTTCAACAGAAGAGGAACCGCTGTTGGGCATTGTGCCCACTCTTTCCGTACCCCTTTCGCTCGTGCCGACTTACGGGGCGGACGGAAGGAAACCACCAGAAGGTACCGATACAGGAGACGGCCAAGAGGGGGGCGTCCAAGAGGGGGGGGTGTAAATCATGGCCGGCGGCATGTGCTCGGCCCAAAGAGGGGCCAGGGACGTAATGAAACAAGAAGAGGCGCCATGAAATCTGGGGAAATATCACGGCCCACGCAACGAAATCCCCTCCCAAGTCATCTCCCCCCCCCTCTTTGCCGCCCCCGACGATACAGCTGGCCTCACCGGACCTCTCCCGGGGGTGCGTCCGAACCACGCCTTCAAGGCGAAGCCGGCGGTGGCGACGAGGGCCTCTCCTGGGAGGCCCCAGTACAAGGGAAAACGAGGGCGGGGCGGCGGTATGGTTAGGTCGGGCCTGTCCCCCTGCAGGGGGGATTTGAGACCCAAAAAGCATTTTTCAAATTATCCCGGCAAAGCAACCTAACAGCGATGTGTAGAAGCATATATGGAAACATTCCCCTTAAGATCCAGATGAGAATCCAGTTGTAGAATTCTCCTGTTCTCGCAGTCGCAGTCGCATTCGCGATGACAGTCGCAATGGCAACGGCAGTCACAGTCACAGCCTCAGCCTCAGCCTGCCTCAGTATCAGCCTGCCTCAGCCTCAGCCTCAGCCTGCCTCAGCCTCAGCCTCAGCCTGCTTCAGCCTCAGCCTCAGCCACAGCCTGTCTTCAGCCTCGGCCTCAGCCTCAGCCTGCCTCAGCCTCAGCCTGCATCAGCCCCAGCCTCAGCCTCAGCCTCAGCCTCAGCCTGCCTCCGCATCAGCCTGCCTCAGCCTCAGCCTCAGCCTGCCTCAGCCTCAGCCTCAGCCTGCCTCAGCCTCAGCCTCAACCTTTTCCTCAGCATCAGCCTGCCTCAGCCTCAGCATCAGCCTGCCTCGGCCTCAGCCTCAGCCTGCTTCAGCCTCAGCCTCAGTCTGCCTTCAGCCTCGGCCTCAGCCTCAGCCTGCCTCAGCCTCAGCCTGCATCAGCCTCAGCCTCAGCCTCAGCCTGCCTCAGCCTCAGCCCTGCCTCAGCCTCAGCCTCAGCCTGCCTCAGCCTCAGCCTCAGCCTGCTTCAGCCTCAGCCTCAGCCTTCAGCCTGCCTCAGCCTCAGCCTGCCTCAGCCTCAGCCTGCATCAGCCTCAGCCTCAGCCTCAGCCTCAGCCTGCCTCAGCAGCCTCAGCCTGCCTCAGCCTCAGCCTCAGCCTCAGCCTCAGCCTCAGCCTCAGCCTGCCTCAGCCTGCCTCAGCCTGCCTCAGCCTCAGCCTCAGCCTGCCTCAGCCTCCTCAGTCTGCCTCAGTATCAGCTTGCCTAAGCCTCAGCCTCAGCCTGCTCAGCCTCAGCCTCAGCCTGCTTCAGCTTCAGCCTCAACCTTAGCCTCAGCCTCAACCTTTTCCTCAGCCTCAGCCTCAGCCAGCCTCAGCATCAGCCTCAGCCTCAGCCTGCCTCAGCCTGCCTCAGCCTCAGCCTCAGCCTCAGCCTCAGCCTCAGCCTCAGCCCTGCCTCAGCCTCAGCCTCAGCCTGCCTCAGCAGCAGCCTGCCTCAGCCTCAGTTGGCTACGGGCATTCAAAATGTGGCCCGGGAATGGAGTTCTGGGAACTCGAAGAGCACGAAGTGGCCTACAGTTGGCTCCGGGCATTCAAAATGTGGCCCGGGAATGGAGTTCTGAGAACTCGAAGAGCACGAAGTGGCCTACAGTTGGCTCCGGGCATTCAAAATGTGGCCCGGGAATGGAGTTCTGGGGACTCGAAGACCACGAAGTGGCCTACAGTTGGCTCCGGGCATTCAAAATGTGGCCCGGGAATGGAGTTCTGGGAAGTCGAAGAGCACGAAGTGGCCTACAGTTGGCTCCGGGCATTCAGAATGTGGCCCGGGAATGGAGTTCTGGGAGGTCGAAGAGCACGAAGTGTGTGACTGTTGGCTTAAAACAACTTCTGCGGCACCCTGTCCGGCACCCGCCCAGACCCCCCTGTGGAGTCATCTGCTGCTCTCTTTTTAGCCCATTAGAAACCTATCAGTCTTCGCTGTTAGGTGAAAATGCCCTCAAAATGCTCAAAAATGGTCGAAAAGTCGTCCCCCGACTGTTTTGTTGACTACTTCCGAATGCTCCCCCTGTAGAGGGACAGGCCCGACTCAACGGTGTGGGTAAGCACCGTTGCCTCCTCTGCATGATGTTGGTGCTCTGGCCGTCTTTGGGCGTTCCTGGCCCGCCTGACGCCGTCGGAGGCCACCTTCCGACCCTCTGGGGCAGTCCTTTGTCCCGGAGCCACCTCCGAGGGCCCCTCGGGGCCCCAGAGCGGCCGCCAGAGGCTGGCAACGAGGAGGAGAACCGTCGGCGATCGACCGACCGATCCTCCAGCGACCGAGCCTCGGTGGGGCAGCAGCTGCAGTCGGGCCCGACTCGAGAGGACACGCGAGAGGACACGAGACCCTTCCGAGGGCCACAGTGCCACAGGAATGCAGAAGGCATGGGTCTGACTAGGGGCCCACCAATGGGGGTAACCAACTATCTTGCTCCACGGCACCCGCCGCGCAGCAACGACGACGACAGCTACGACTACTTGTAGGAGGAGGAGGAGGAGGAGGAGGAGGAGGAGGAGGCAGAGGAGGAGAAGAAGGCGGAGGAGAAGATCCTCGACCGACCCTCGATCGACCAGGGAACAAAAACGCTCGAGCGAGGGCGAGCTGGCGCGCGGCGGCCGCCCGGAGGAGGCGGAGGAGGAGGAGGAGGAGGAGGAGGAGGAGGAGGAGCGAGGAGCGAAGAGCGAGGAGCGAGGAGCGAGGAGGAGGAGGAGGAGGAGGACGAGGAGGAGGAGGAGGAGGACGAGGAGGAGGAGCACGCTCGAGAGAGGGGGGCGGCCCGCGGCGGCCTCCCGCAGGGCGTCGGCCACCTGGCCAAAGGGGGGGGGGCGGGGGCGGGCACCCGCACCGAGCAGGCACGGCGAGGCCACGGGCGAGGGCCAAGTCGGGCCTGCCCTCCTGCAGGGGGACCTCCGAGGAGAAACAAACAATAGCCAACAAAGATTCACAAGATGCCAACAAAGATTCACAAGATGCCAACATAATACCCAACAACTCGTCCCCAGACTGTGTTTGGACGATTTTCGAACCTATTCCCCCCGTAGAGGGACAGGCCCGACGTAACACCGGGTAGGACAAGGCCAGGGGCGAGGATCAAGCCGGGCCCAGGGGCGCGGCGCCCAAGGTCGCCCAAGAGAGGGCCCCAAGAGGGGCCCCAAGAGGGGGAGCACGAACCACCAGTTTGGGCCTTCCGCCCCAAGACAGAGCCCCGGAGGCCCCCTGGAAGCCCCACGAGGCCCCCGAGGACCCAAAAAGAGGCTCCAAGGCCCCCAAGAGGCCCAAAAGGAGGCTCCAAGAGGCCAGCCACGAACGCGCAGGCAATCGCCTGCGATGGCACAACACGGGCCGGCGGAGTGAGTGAAGCGAGCAATGACCACGGGTGAGGATAAATCGAGAATCTTTGAGATCCAGCGGCTCTGAAGGACTGGCCATGGATCAAACGTCCTTTCCCGTGCATTGTTCTTTTTCGTGCAGGCTTTTTTGGCTCGGTGATGAAGGATGCTCCTCGATGGTCCTCGTCGAGAAAAAAAAACAAAAAAAAAAAAAAAAAAAAAAAAAAAAAAAAAAAAACGTCCGAGCGGTGCCAAGGGGATGTCTCGGGCGCCACGGCCTCCTCAGAGCGATCTGGAAGGCTCCGAGAGCGTTCCGGAGCGCTCTGGACGGATTGATCCTGGTCCCAGCCCCGTCCGACTGTAGAACCTGGCACGGGTCCCGGACGAGGGGGGGCCCCAGGAGCGCTACCCCCGTCGGTCGGAGCGCGTGGGCAGAAACATGAAGCAGGAAGGCGCTGAAGCAGAGTGGGCTTCCGCCCGCCCCCCGAAGAGCACGGGAGAGCAGGGAAGAAGGAAAGCCGCTCGACTCTCGAAGTGGGAAAGGAGCCCGAAGCAGATTTTAGGCCCTGTGGCACCAGAAATACCTGCTTCCAACGACCGACGGGCACGACGAGAATCCGGGAGGCCTCGCGCGGCAACTCGAGATCCGATGTACGCCAGATCCGCGTCGGACTCCCGTCGGATTCGCGTCGGATGGGCATCGGATTCGCGCCGGACTCACGTCGGACGCGGGTCGGAACCGCGCCGCGCGGACGTCGTCCCCAGACCTGAAGGGGCGGACGCGTGGACTAGGTAGTACAACCATTGCGCGTCGCGCGAAGCCTCCGGGAACCTCCTCGGAGCTCGCCATCGCTCGGACGTCCATTCCCTGGGTTTTTTTTCGGTTTCGTGCGTGGCTTTTTCGCCAGATGATCAAGGATGCTCCTCGATGGTCCTCGCCGAAAGAAACATGCACACGTCCGAGCGATGCCAAGAGAGGGAGCTCTCTCGCCGTCTCTCTGGGCCCCTGGCAGGATGGAGCCAGACGAAACGCATCGGACCGCTCACGAGTCCTGGCGGCGCGCACAGGGGGTAAGGTGCGGTCGGGCATGACCTCCTACAGGCGGATTTTGGAAGAACAATTAAACAAATAATCTGCAAATATTGAACATTTGCCACACATGATGGAAAGAAACGTCCCTAGACTATTCTCTTACTCTTCCTGCAGATTCGCCCTGTAGAGAAACATGCCCAACTCCACGCTGGATCGGAGCGCATCGGAAACGAACCGGATCGCCCACGAATCTTGGCGGCGCGCACGGGGTACAGTCAAAAACCCTAATAAGGACGCGCGGTAAGGACGCAAGACCCTTGGAAGCCGAAGTTGGGATTTTTAGGGCGGCGGACGACGAAAAACCCAAGGACGCAAGAGCAAGGAAGAGCAAGGACGCAAGGGTACCCTGAGCAAAGTCGCGCGTCCTTCTTAGGGTTTCTGACTGTAGGGGGGCAGGGGGAAAGGCTTTTTCGAGGGAGGCGGCTTCTCAGAAGGCGCCAGCCTGACGATACCACAGACGAGGCCCACGCCTGTGCCTCTCGGGGGGCGCCAAGACCCTTCCCAAAATCGGATGCCAGGACCGGCGGCGACGACAAGGGGCGAATAGCCCCAGGGGCGGGCATTACACGCATTCGCCCAGGAGCCTTTCCGAAGACATCGATCATCGGCGCACCTGAGCACATGTGTTGCTCCCCCCTGGGCCATTCGCCCCCATCGTCGCCCCTGACAGGATCGCTCGGGAAGGGGACCGGCTGCAGGAGGCGGCAGAGGCTCTCCGTGTGCTGCCGCGGCGCTGCGAGGCACCGCACCTGCCCACGAGCTCCCGGCGCCGCCTCCGAGTGCCCCGGAGTGCGCTCTGGACTGCTCCGGAGCCTGGAGTGCCCCCCCCCCCCTCTCAGCCTCGGAGTGCCCCCCCCCCTCTCAGCCTCGGCGTGCCCCCCCCTCTCTCTCGGCGTGCCCCCCCCTCGGCGCGTCGCCTCGGCGCCGCCTCGGAGCGCCCCCCTCGGCGCCGCCTCGGAGCGCCGCCTCGGAGCGCCCCCCTCGGCGCCCCCTCGGAGCCGCCCCGTGCAGTGCTGTGGCGGGGAGGGTGGCAGCCGCGGGTGCGGCAGGGCTCTCTCTCGTCTCTGCTCTCCGTGCCTCCCGTGAGAAGGCGAAGACCTACCCCCACCCCCAGTCCCGACGCCCACCCCCGAGCCTTCGATTCCAGGGGTCGGGGCTGGGGGTGGGGGTGGGTTTTCTCCATTCCTGGACCCCGAAGACCACCCCCACCCCCAGTCCCGACACCCTGGATGGCGGGTGCGGAAATGGGGTCGGGACTAGGGGTGGGGGTGGCTCTTCGCCTTCTCATCCCGTCCTCGCATCTCTGTGCCGGATCTGCAGCCCTCCTGAGGAGGCCTGGGGGCGGAGCCTGACGGGGTCTGGCCCTGGGTCACTCGAAGCCCCTCCTCTCCCCCCCTCATTCCTTGTCCCATGTGGCTTTAGATAGGCAGCCATGTCACATGCCTTCAGACCCCGACTCCGACTCCGAGGAGGAGCAGGAACAGGAGGAAGGTGGAGGAGAAGGAGGAGGAGGAGGAGGGAGGGGGGAGGAGGAGGAGAAGGAGGAAGGGGGGAGGAGGAGGAGGAGGAGGAGAAGTTGGAGGCAAGGGCAGGGTCGCACCTCCTGCGCCGTCGCGAAGTTCCCCATGACCTGGGGCGGAACACGCGCTGGGAGGAGACCCAGGAGCAGCAACACGCCAACGAAGCCAGGACGGGGACCCCACCGGTCAGGGACAAGGCACCAGAGGCCTCGGAGACCCAGCGGCTTTGGGTGCCGCATCGGGCCCCGCGGCCTTCTCCGAACGTGCTGGAACGCTCTGAGAGCGTCGCGTAAATTGAGCAGGGGCCGACCGTTCCAGCATTCCTATAGGCCTACCACGAAATTTCCTTAGAACCCAGAAATGTTCTAAGAACCAAACAATGCTCTTAGAACATCAACCGATGTGTTGAAACAAGGCAGTCCGACAGTCCCGGCCAGAAATGTGATAAGAACGTTTCGTGGGAACCATGAGAGGTTCTTGGAACATTGTTTGCTAGGCCTATAGGAACGCCAGGACGCTTCGCAACTGCTTGAGTAAAGCTCTGGGACAGACTCATCTCTGTCCGGCCCTCTCCCGAAGCAGCAGCAGCACCGCCCAGGCGCGCCCATCGGCGAGAGCTGGCGGGTGGAAGCATGGAGCAGGGGAGGCGCTGGAGAAGCAGCTTTTGGCCCTCCGCCCACCCCTGGAAGACGCGGGGCAGTGGGAAACCACTCGATGCTTGGAATACGAAGGCGCCCAAAAAAGATTGCAGCCTGAGGCAAGGCTGAACCTAAGCGGTGTTTTTCGTTTTCGTTACGTTTTCGTGTTCCTTTGTCTTGTATGAAATCCGCCCCCGGAAGACGAGGGGCAGTGGGAAACCACTCGATGCTTGGAATAGGAAGGCGCCCCCCAAAAAAATTGCAGCCTGGGGCAAGGCTGAACCTAAGCGGTGTTTTTCGTTTCCGTTATGTTCTCGTATTCCTTCGTCTTGTATGAAATCCGGCCCCAGAAGACGCGGGGCAGTGGGAAACCACTCAATGCTTGGAATAGGAAGGCGCCGCAAAAAGATTGCAGCCTGTGGCAAGGCTGAACCTAAGCGGTGTTTTTCGTTTTCGTTCTGATGAAATCCGCCCCCGGAAGACGAGGGGCGGAAACCACTCGATGCTTGGAATAGGAAGGCGCCCCCAAAAAAGATTGCAGCCTGGGGCAAGGCGGTGTTTTTCGTTTTCGTTATTTTCTCGCGTTCCTTCGTCTTGTATGAAACCCGCCCCCGGAAGACGAGGGGCAGTGGGAAGCCGCTCGACGATTGGAATAGGGAGGCGCCCCAGAAAGATTACAGTCTGGGAAAAGGCTGAACCTAAACGGTTTTTCTGGTTTTCGTTTTGTTTTCGCTTTTTCCTTCGTCTCGTATAGAACCCGCCTTTTTCACCGCAGGACGAGGTCGAAACGAAAACGGCCCACGACATCGCAGAAAAACACCGTTTGGATCCAGGTCTGGGGATCCTTTCCACGCTCGGCGGGCGCACCGAAACCAGGCACGCACGGCGGCACGTCACCATGGCGCCGTGCTCTTGCTGGAGCGCGCAGGCCCGCCGCCCGGCCATGCGCGCTCCGTCGCGCCAAGCACAGTCGGGGCGCTGACCTGAGGAACGATAAATATCAAGGGGCCCTGGGACACACCAATAAATACACACAAATCACAGGATTCCCCATCAGTTCCCATATATATTTTTGTTGTTGCCCTTACGGTTCGCTTCACCCATATCGCGCTGCCAATCTCGCTTCGCTGGGGTCGCGCCGGGCGGACAGAGCCGGCGAACGCGACTTTAAAATGAGCGCGCAGGTTATCATACGAGCGGGCAGGACGTTAAACCGAGCGGGATTCAGAAGAGGACAATTGAGCTAGCACGGGCTACATATCGAACGACTGCCAAGGCGACTGGTACAACAATACCCCTCTGTGCACTCCTTCAAATATCCATATGGGCACGGACATCCTGGAACTATCTTATCACCCACACAGCAAGTTTGGCCTCCGTCACGCAGCCTTCTGCGGCAGCAGTAAGTGTTTGGTTGAGAGCACTCCATCTGACACTCTGGAGACTCCGAGGAACGGAGATGCACGTCGCCAGGATGTTTATGCTGGCGATGCATGGTAGAGTTGAGGTTCTGGACATCGATCGGTATATCCTCCACTCTCGTCTCCTCATATTGTTTGTGGTCCTGCGTCTCGTCCTTCCAAATGTTCGCGATTTGCGGTTCGCTGGGGCCCGACGCCCGTGACTGGAGTAGCCCCACGCCGTCGGCCTCGTTCGTGGCGTCGCAGTTGTGCGAATCGCCCTCCATCAGGCAGCGTTCCTCCGAGGTCTTGGCTAAGTCATCGGCGGCAACGCAGCCGCGGCCGACGAGCAGGATGGCGAACGCTCCCGCAAGCACCACGACGTTCATTGCGGCAACGGCGGAGTAACAGGGGCTTGGCAGCAATAGGCGAAAACCAAATGTTCCCTATTCCTGAAGAGTTGCCACAATGTCTTGAGCCAAAATGGCTACGAATCAGTTCCCATATTTTATTGGTTTTTGCCTTCCCCCCACTTCCCATATGTTCCCATATGTTCTAGGAAATCGACGATTAATTGTGTCTGTGTGTCTAAGCCAGGGCGCTTCGCCACTACCTGATGTCGGGGGTGTCCAAGAGGGGGGGTGCAAATCATGACCGGCGGCACGTGCGCGGCCCAGCGGGGGGGCCGGGAACGTAATGAAATAAGGGGAGGCGCCATGAGATCTGGGGAAATACCATGGCCCCCGCCATGAGATCCACCCCCCCTAGTCATCACCCCCCTTTTTGCCGCCCCCGATGATGGGGGGTGCCTCGGCGTGGGACCGGCGAGGCATCGCGCATCGATCCGCAGCAGGCCCCCGACGGTGCACCCCCGAGGCTCCTGGCGGCGGGCCTGGGCCTCCCGGCCCCCGTCGGGCGAGGCCGGGGCGATCGGGGGTCGGCGCCGTGCCCCCCCCTTCCCGGAGCCCCTCCCCCCCCCGGCCGCCGCCCCCAACGCTGCACCCGGGGAGGGAAGCGAGGAGGGGAAAGGGGAGGAGGCCACTACTGGGAGGCTTTCGTCGGAGAGGTCAAGGAGGATTGGGCCCCATTTGAAAGCTCTTACGCTGGAGTGGACCTGGGATCAAGCAGGAACAAGCCGGATTAAGCGGGATTAAACAGGATGAATCGGGATTAAGCCGGACTTCGGACCAGTGAAAAATGAAAACTTACCCCCCCAGGAGTTGCATACCAGGAAAGCGGATGGAGAGGGGCACAAAACAGGGTAGTGCCATCGTGCCAGGGCACAAAGTTATAGGCACAAACAGGGCACAAACGGGACACAAACAGGGCACGACACGGGAAACTGGGCACAACGCAGGGCACAAACAGCGCCAAAACAGGGCGGATGCGCAACAAGGAAGTTTTTTTGGCCACGCCGAGCCTCGGCCGCGCGTAGTTAAGTCACCAGGCTTTCAAATCTCGCCATCGGAGCAGGGCAAGCTGCGACACCGGCCGCTCAAACCTTGGTCCCTGGACCCCTCCCCGGGCCCAAAGGCACAGCTGCTCCGAGCTGCGTCCAGCCGTGGCGGCGAAGGGGGCCCCCCTAAGGCCAACTGCCGTGGTCTCCATTCGCCCTCGACTGAACGGAGCGGTCAGAGAGCCGGGGCTCTCCTGAATCCAACGCAGTCCGAATCGCGACACCGGGCCGGATCGGAAGCACATCGCCAGCGCATCGCCACGCATCGGATCGGAATCAAATCTCCGCGCCCTCCTCTGGCTGGCCCCGGCCGATGCCGGAGATTGGCCGCGCACAAAGAGGCGCCAACTGGTTTTTTTATTTCCCGCGATAACGGCCGTCGCCGGCCCGTTTCGCGCCGGCGGCGCCCGGGAATGCCTAAAAACGACCGAAGCCACGTAGGACCAGCATGCAAGTGGCTATCTGCACCACAGCGCCTGTGTACACCACACTGCTCGCGTGTACCACAGCATGCGTATACACCACAGCGTCTGCGAATACCGCATCAGGCTTGTGCAACGCAGAGCCTGCGTACACCAAAAAACTCGCGTGCACCACATCGTCTGGGTACACCACAACATATGTGTGCACCGCAGCAGCCTTCTGCAGCGCAGCGCCTATGTAAACCACAGTGCTTGCGTACACCGCAGCGGCTGTGCACACCACAACGCCTGTGTACATGCCACCATCCGCGTGCAACGCACCGCCGGTGTACAGCACAGCGCGCGCGTGCACAGGACTGGTAGAAAGAGCACGCAGGTGAGGATGTGTTGCGGAAAGTTACACAGCGGTTAAAACGCAATGGCATTGGACGCCGAAGCTGGCACTGTTGGGCGGCGAAAGATAAACAATCGAAAAGGCCGAGTCAAGGACGAAGGGTACCCTAAGTTTTGAGTGTAAACGCCACGCTTGGAGAGTGCTGAAAAAAAAGAAAGCAATTTTCTTCCATCCTCGCACCCCATGTTTGCCCGTGATCTCCACGTCCAGAAAACCAGGGGACGCAATGCATATGGCGGCTCGGGCGATAGGCTCGGGTGAAGAATCTCCAACCTCAAACTCTGTATTGGAAGAACTGGTCTCCAGGATACTGGCAGAAGCGGTAGCTGTGCCCAAACCCACAGTAGCACCTGCAGAGAAAAACGCCAAGAGACGAGGAAGAGGTTCAGGAAAATCGGGAATATGTAGAGCCAGACGAGTGGATGTGTCGGTATCTTTGCCCGTGATCTCCACGTCCGGACAACAGAATAGATCGTGTATGTTGTGGTTCGGGCGCTGGTGGTGGCTACCAGGGCCCACCCATGCGTCCTACTTGGACCCTTTGGATCCCCTTTTTGCGATCCACTTAGATTCTTCGCGGCACGGGTGACGATCTCGTCGAATTTCGTGGTCACCTCGATCAATTTAGCGCGTTTGTGCAAAGCCCCCCAGCTTGTCCATTCACCACGGGCCCACTCCCGGATCACAGTGCCTCCATCGATCTTCACAAAGATAGCCAACTCTCCATCAACTGTTACCGTGTATGGGTGGTCCTTCTCGTCGACGCGTATGGGGCGATGCCCAATGCGTCCTTCAGAATGTATGTGATGTCAAAGGAATAGTTGTGCGCAGCTCGAAGCAGTGGTGAAAAATCGCTCATCGCCCAAACCTCTTGTCCGTTCCTGAAATGCTTGGCGCCTCGTGTCTGACTGACCAACCACAAGGTTTCTGTCGTCAACGCTCGCAAGCTCAATGAATACCATATTATTGAACTTTCCCTTGGCGTACATGTTGATTGGCACTGGTGCACCTATTCGTTGCATTTCTTGTCTGATCCATTTGATTGCGGCCTCCAAATTGTCGAAATTGTCGAGGTTGCCGACGACGGCGGTGATGTCCCTCTTGTCTATGATGTTGGTGCCGTGGGTTGCAGGTGTTGTCGGTCGCGTTGGAGTAGCTCTCTGCTACTTCATCGCTTCGATGTCCATCTCAAGCTGCATTGTTTTGGCGTTGGTAACCAAGTCTACTGTCACCGCGGAATTTGCTGATGACGGCCGATGCTGATACACGATTGGTAACGTCGTCGGTGGATTCTTGGAAAGGTTCCACTGCGGTGTCAAGGTCTTTTCGCGAGATTCCATATGTCTTGATGGCCGTGATGTCGTTGCGGATCGGTTCCAACTGTTCGTTCAGGATGACTTTGAGCGTCTCTGCACTGAGAGGTGCTCCAGGAGCCACGTTGGTGACCGCGGTGTTTTTCTTGTCGGCGTCATTCAGCTGCTGTTCGGACTTCGGACAGGGCTTGACGCAAGCTGGTGCCTTCTTGGTCGACCTTGAGCGGCGAGTTGCCAGTGCGGGCCACTTTCTCCTGCCCACCTTTCAGTGCCGAGCGTCGCGGCTCAGGAGAAAAAAATATATGCTTTTCCGGCATGGCCACAGCAGCCCACAAGAGTGGCGTAAGAGAGAGCGGAATTGTGCGATGGAAAGGGAGTAGTAGGATGAGCGGATGCCTTGAGCGGATGCCTTGAGCGAATGCCATCTTGAGCCAGAATGGCTACGCGTGAGGGGTCTTGTGGAGGCCGCGTGGGCCGCCTTGGAAAGCCTGGGTGCACCTGGGGCCAGGGCACTTATCGCGGCACCGCGCCACCCAGCATCGCCTCGCCACCAGCATTGGACAAGCACGTTCCACCAAGCGCGAAAAGGTCTTTAGTTTGGGTCCGCCCCCCCCCCTCCCTCTCGGCGGTGAATAGGACTGGTCCTGATACCTTCTCCTCATCCTCCTCATCATCCTCCTCATCCTCCCTCCTCATTCTCCTCGTAGTCGAAGTCGTAGTCGTAGTCGTAGTCGTACCTGTCGTCGTCGTTGTTGCGCGGCGGGTGCCACGGAACAAAAATTAGTTATCCCCTACCGGTGGGACCATAGTCCTTCGATAAGGCCGCCGAAATATCGGCAATTACACCCTATTAGGGGGGGTCGAAAGACCTTTCAGGGTTACTCGCAAAGTGAACAACTCGCAAATGGCCTGGATCCGCCGCAAGGGGATCTACGATCCAGCACGCCGAGGCAACCACGTGCTGCTCGGACGCTTGCCGGAAGGCACGTTGCGAGCAGTGGAGAACGCGCTCGGTGAAGCACGGTGGAGCCCCCGGGGCCGGCGCCTGTTTCTGCCTCGGCGGCCTCGCGCTCGCTGCTCCTGTAACGCGCGCCGGGCCGCGCAGGTAACTGCATGCATGCCGGGGCCGGCGCACACGCCCTTCGGCGCTGTAGACGTGGCGCCCCGCCCGGCGGCTGTGGCAGGAGGTCCTCCGGCCCGCGCTTCTGGCGAGGGGGAATTCAGGGCCATCCTCAGGACCCCATCCCTCAGGACCCCATCTTCGAACCACCGAGAGAGGGGTCAAGGGCTCGACCGAAGCGCTGTTGTCCGTCTCGACTTGTTGTCGTGTTCCCCCGTGTTGACCTCGCTCCGCCCGTGCCGCAAAACAACATCGAAACGAATTCGGTTCACGAAATCGCCGCAACAACGTTCAGGCCGAGCCCAGGATAGTTCGGGGATCCCTGAACTCCGGCGGTTCTGGAGGCGCTACAGCCGTTCCATAGCGCTCTCAGAGCGCTCTGGAATACTATGGAGCGATTTATCCCTGGCCTAGCTTTATGTCGGGCATGTCCTCCGACACGCGGATGTTGGACAAAGATGCAGACATAATCGAAAAATCGTCCCCTGACTATTTTCTTACTATTTTTCAACATTCTCCCTGTAGAGGGACATGCCCGACTTAATCCTAGCACCAAAAGGAGGGGGAAGGTTTTTTCAGAAGGCAGCAGGGATCCTCGGAAGTCCCCTGACCTTCCGAGACGCCGCCTGCGTCTTCGGAGAAGGCTCAGGCAGCTTCTCACAGGGCCGGAGGCCTCCTGAGCCTGATGAGAGGGCCCGTCCCCTCCGTGAGAAGGCCCTTCTGAAAAGGACGCCCCCTGAGCAGCCTGAGAAGGCCCTTCTGAGAAGGCCGCGCCCTCCTGAGCCTTCCGAGAAGGCCCGCCCCCTCCTGCCTCCTTCTGAGAAGGCCTTTTCTGAGAAGGCCCTTCTGAGAAGGCCCGCCCCGATAGCGTGGACTCCAGGGGTCCTCCTCCTCCTCCTCCTCTTCCTCCTCCTCCTCCGCCTCCTCCTCCTCCTTCTCCTCCTCCTCTTCCTCCTCCTCCTCCTCGTCCTCTCCTCCGCCTCCTCGTCCTCCTCCTCCTTCTCCTCCTCCTGAGGTCTGCTGGACCCCTTCCCACGGGGCAGTTTTTCATTCCGCGCCTCGCGCGGCCGCGCGGAGGGGGGGGGGGGGGGCACGGGTGATCCTGTCCGCAGCGCGCAGGGCAGCTCCTCCCCCTCCTCCTCTTCCTCCTCCTCCTCCTCCTCCTCCTCCTCCTTCTCCTCCTCGCCCTTCACCACCTCCTCCTCTTCCTCCTCCTCCTCCTCGCCCTTCACCTCCTCCTCCTCCTCCTCGTCCTCCTCCTCCTCCTCCTCCTCCTCCTCCTCCTCCTCCGTTCCTCCCAAATTGTGCGTGGATAGCCCCGAAGCTCGAGGTCTGGACCCCTCCCCATAAGCCAACAATAATAGCGGAAGACTGGGTCCGTCGGCGTCGTGCCCCCCCCCCTTGGGCGCGCCGCCGGCAAAAGAGGCGCAAGAGCCGTGTTCCTCGAATGATAAGAAGGGCCTGGCATAGGGGGGATGCATCGACCTGAAATCGGCGATCCATCGCCGATGGATCGGCGATAGGCCTCCGATCGTGAATCCGTACCTTCCTAGGCAAGATGGGGCTATCGGGCCCCTATCGGCGATCAGTGGGCTAGTGGGGGTCGATGCATCCCCCTTATGCCTATCCCCTCCTATCGTTGCCCGTCATCTATACTCCCCCCAGAACGCATCGCTGAGAGAGACAACAACAGCACACCAACACTTGAGCAGGGACCGACCGTCCCTGCATTCCTACGAGGCCTACCACGACATGTTCTCAGAGCCCTGACATGTTCCAAGAATAAAAAACAAGGTTCTCAGAACATGAGCCCGATGTGATAAACAAACCAGCATCAGTCAGAAATGTTCTAATAACATGTCGTGCAGACCACAGAACGTTATCAGAGCATTCTCCAGTGGGCCTATCAAACCAGAACACTTCGCCACTGCTTGAAACACCACCCCCCGCCAGGCCCACATCAAGGCCGGTGATTGGTGAATGGCATGCGCCTTCCTGCCCTGGCGAAGAATAGATACTCGTCCCCCCCAAGGATCCGTTCAGTGACGGGCAGCGTGGTGACCTCGGAATCCCCAGAGGCCCCACCGCGCGGTCCGTCGCTACACGGCTCTGCGGCCCTGGAGGCCCCAAACGTCCAAGAAAAAACTTCGGGGAACGACCACGGTCCCGAAACCGCGCGATGACCCCAGGACCCCCGACGTCATGATTCCCAACCATCCTGTGGTGTTGGGTCCTCGTTTTGAAGAGACGGTCCCCGGGTTCTTCCTTCATTCCTTCGTTTTTCCCCCCCTCCCTCCTCCCCCTCCTCCCTCACTTCTTGGCCCCATAGGGAGCTCCACCGAAGGTTCCAGTAGGACCGCCCGCATGCGTCACCCACCACCCAACACAGCACTTCGTGGCCCCACAGGGAACTCCACCGAATGCTCCAGTGGGACCGCCCGCACGTGTCATCCATCACCCAGTACAGTGCTTCGTGGCCCCACAAGGAACTCCACCGAAAGCCCCAGTGGGACCGCCCGCATGCGTCATCCACCACACAACACAGCGCTGCGTGGCCCCATAAGGAGCTCCACCGAAGCCCCAGTGGGACCGCCCGCATGCGTCATCCACCACCCAACACAGCACCTCGTGGCCAGCACTACCGAAGGCTCCAGCGGCACCGACCGCATGCGTCATCCACCACCCAAAACAACGCTTCGTGGCCCCATAGGGAGCTCCACCGAAGGCCCCAGTGGGACCGCCCGCATGCGCCATCCACTGCCCAATACACCGCTTCGTGCCCCCATAGGGGGCTCCACCGAGGGCCCCAGTGGCCAGTGGGACCGCCCGCATGCGTCATCCACCACCCAGCACAACGCTTCGTGACCGCATCCGGATATTCACCGAAGGCCCCAGTGGCACCGCCCGCATGCGTCATCCACCACCCAGTAAGGCGCTTCGTGACCCCATAGGGAGCTCCACCGAAGGCCCCCGTGGGACCGCCCGCATGCGACATCCACCACCCAGTACAGCGGCTCCTGGCCCCATAAGGAGCTCCACCGAAGGCCCCAGTGGGACCGCCCGCATGCGTCATCCACCACCCAGCGCAGCACTTCGTGGCCCCGTAGGGAGCTCCACCGAAGGCTCCAGTAGGACCGCCCGCGTGCGTCACCCACCACCCAGCACAACATTTCGTGGCCCCACAGGGAGCTCCACCGAATGCTCCAGTGGGAGCGCCCGCGCGCGTTATCCACAACCCAGTACAACGTTTCGTGGCCCCGTAGGGGGCTCCACCGAAGGCCCGAGTGGGACCGCCCGCGTGCGTCATCCACCACCCAGTACAGCGTTTCGTGCCCCCACAGGGAGCTCTACCTAAGGTCTCTTTGGCGGAAGTCGCATGGCGGCCCAGTGCCAGAATTCGCATAGCGGCGACTTTCGATTTCCGGAAGTTTTTCGTCGCATTCGAGTTATTGAAGCCGCTTTCGGGCCGCGCATCCTGGGCGGGAGCAAAACTGCTCGCTCTCTCTGTTCCGCGCAGCGGGCGACCCGCGCGCGTCGCAGGGACCCCTTCGGGGCGACCAGCGCGCGTCGCGGGGACTCCATGCGGCGCCGCGCCCGCAGTCTTGGACGTGGGCGTGCACGGGCAAAGAGGGAGAAAAAGAACGGGAATGAAGCGGGCGCGATCCTCGTGAGAGGCGCGCCGACATGGGCGTCGACATTTACGCACGTAGACTCAGGCGCGCGCATCCACAATCAGACTCACTCGCTCTCAGTCTCTGGCACACAGACCTATCGTCTTCGCTCGCGTTGTGTGCCCCGCCACGCATGTCGGCACGCCCCTCACACGGCTCGTGGTCCCATAGGGAACGCGGGCGAAGATGATATTTATAATTGCGGTATTCACAACTGCATATGGTTGGGTCCTTCGCCAAACTAATTTTGTTCATGACGCGACCCCCCAAAAGTCGGACCCCTCCCCAGGAACCGGTTTCTCATCCTGAGCCGTGTTCGACGGTCCCGAGGCCCAGTACGGGCCCCCAGGGGCCGAAAATAGCGAAAAACCTTCCGTCGTGAATTTTTCATGACTCGATGGGTTCTTGGACCCCGAATCCCCCTTGACTCACCACACAACGGTGCTGCCACCACGCCGTTCGGAGACCACCGATGCTGACCTCGCTGGGACCGCCGCCGGCCTACAGTCGGGGTTGATTGGAGAGGACACGCGAGAGGACACAAGACCCTTCCGAGGGCCACCTTGCCATAGCAAGGAGGCATGGGTTGCGAAGCTCAGGGCACAAGAGTACCCTCGATTTGGCAGGGTCGACCTACGAATCCGTCTCGACTGTACAGCTGGCGTCCCCCGAGGGCCCGCAGGCAGGCGGCCTGGCGCCGCCGCTGGCCCTGCAAGAGCCGGCCACCGAGCCCCATCCAGAGAGCGACCACGCTGGTGCACGCCGCGCCGGAGAGCCTTGTGCCCTGAAGTCTGTAGCGGCGGGAGGTCGGGCCGAAGCCTGGCAGGAGCCAGCGGCGGGCAGAGGAGGCCGGGGAGGGCGGGGGGCGGCCAGGGGGTCTCTTGGAAAGTGCAGTCGTCGTGCTGTCATAGTCATGGCTCTTCTGGCCACGGCTAGCCTCGGCTGCCTCCGACCGAGACCCAAGGAGAGGCCGGAAGACCACGGCCCCTCCTCCGAACCGAAAGCGGTCCTCACGTCGGCGTCTGGGCCGTGTCGCCCCCCCCTCTGCACTGGAAGGAGAGGGGGCTTCGAAACGGCCAGGGCGCCTTCTCGGATGACATCCCCCCCCCACCACTCGCCGCTGCCCCTCTGTGCGCGCCGCTGGAGGAAGGACGGGCACGGGGTGCTAGAGGGGCGCAAAGGGGGACGGCGGCCTCGCCGTCTGCGAGAGCGGCCACTCAGCGGCGGCGGCGGCGGCAGCAGCAGCACCACACCGTGCAGCAGCAGCAGCCGCAAAGAACGACTGCCGCCGCGACCAGCAGGGCGATGGCCTTGGCCGTCAGCTGCGGGTGGCACGTGACCGAGCCAGTCACCGACACTGGCGAAGTGGCGGTGATGACGCACGAGAAGTCGTGGAACTGCACGAACGGGTTGTCCAGGATGTAGCCGCACTGGGAGCTGGGGCTGCACCAGTCGTCGCAGTCTCCGTCCCGCTTGTACACGCAAACGACGTCGGTCACGTTGCATTCCGCCTCCACGGAGTTCCGCAACATGGTCTGCGCGGCGTCGCACATGGGGTCCTCGCTCTCGGTCGAGAGCGCGCGTTCCGCACCGCGCAGCTCCGTCATCGGCGTCACGCCGCTGTCGACAGCCACGGGCTCCGCGGGGTCCGCGGCCACGGCTGCAGCAAGGCAGGCCGCCACAGCGAGGGTGAGCATGGCTCGCGCGGTCTGGTTGTTGTCCTTCCTGTGCACTTCAAACCGACGCGGCTTGGGCCCAAATGGCTATGCACAGGACTTCGCCTGGGCGGTTCTAGGCAAAGTAATGTGGGTAGTGGCCGGAATGTCACTGAAAGTGTGGCATCGGGAAGTGCAGTAGTTTGCAGGGAATACGGTTACACACTGGCAGAAACACTTGTCTGCAAAATGGAAAGCTGATTAAGCGGCGCTTGCACTCTCAGCGGATCCTTCTGCTGCCGATACGATGCGCAGTCGGCGCGAGGACCACATGCAAATGTGGAACAGGACACTCACGTGTGTAAAATGGCATGGAATAGGAGAGGGGCGGGAAACAGAGGAAGAGAAGACAAGAGAAGGAAACATCAGCTGATAGTGACATCCGCATGCGACGATTAAAACACACAGACGGCAAAGCCGAGTGCCACGACTGGAACTGACAATAGCATGGAGAAAATACGAAGACATACATGGAAGACAAGAGACGGACAAGATAGCAGTTGCTAAGGCTACGAAGGCCGAGGCCATGACAGGTGCGAAGGGAAGGAGGGAAACTGCGGCAAGCTCCTGCCTTGCCGTGGCCCGTGGTTTGTGACACCCTGTGAACCGATTTGCACCTGGAACGATCTCCTCGTTCCGGGGGTCCAGAGGCTGTCGACACCATATATTGTCGTGATTTCGCGCCGTGGGAAGCTTTCTCTTGCTCTGAGCCCCGAGGTGGGACCCCAGATAGCATTCGGCTGCGAACGCTGGCGCCGGCGCCGCCGCCGCGTCGCAGCGGCGCGAACTCTGCTGCACTCGGACAGGCGGCGCGAGAGGCGGAGAGTCAGAACGTCAGAGAGGCGTGCGAAGTGTGCCTTCCTGGGGAGCACGCTCCGCCCGCAGCAGGAGGAGGCACGACGAGGACGCAGGGGCCTCAGGAGGCCACGTCGGCACTCTGCGAGCGGGGCGCGGCCAGCGTAGGCGGCCGAGGAGGGGCCAAAGGGGAAGGATGCCAGCGTAACCGTGGAAAGTTGCTCCTCCTGACTGTTTTGTGTTTTGCATTGGTTTTGTTTTTCATTTTCTCTAAGTTGCTCCTCCTGACTGTGCGGCCTGGCGGTAGGGATCCCCGCGGGGCCGGCGCGTGGGCCTCTAGGCATCGGGGTGGCCCCCCTCCTCCGCGTGGGGCCCGGGGGCCGAACCGGAAGGATGCGAGTCGGGGGCGAAGGGTACCCTAAGTTTTGACTGTAAACGCCACGCTTGGGGAGTGCTGAAAAAAAGAAAGCAATTTTCTTCCATCCTCGCACCACCACGTTTGCCCGTGATCTCCACGTCCAGAAAACCAGGGGACGCAATGCATATTGCGGCTCGGGCGATAGGCTCGGGTGAAGAATCTCCAATCTCAAACTCTGTCTGGGAAGAACTGGTATCCAGGATACTGGCAGAAGCGGTAGCTGTGCCCAAACCCACAGTAGCACCTGCAGAGGAAAACGCCAAGAGACGAGGAAGAGGTTCAGGAAGATCGGGAATATGTGGAGCCAGACGAGTGGATGTGTCGGTATCTTTGCCCGTGATCTCCACGTCCGGACAACAGAATAGATCGTGTACGTTGTGGTTCGGGCGCTGGTCGTGGCTACCAGGGCCCGCCATGCGTCCTACTTGGACCCTTTGGATCCCCTTTTTGCGATCCTTTTAGATTCTTCGCGGCACGGGTGACGATCTCGTCGAATTTCGTGGTCATCTCGATCAATTTAGCGCGTTTGTGCAAGGCCCCCCAGCTTGTCCATTCACCACGGGCCCACTCCCGGATCACAGTGCCTCCATCGATCTTCACAAAGATAGCCAACTCTCCATCAACTGTTACCGTGTATGGGTGGTCCTTCTCGTCGACGCGTATGGGGCGATGCCCAATGCGTCCTTCAGAATGTATGTGATGTCAAAGGGATAGTTGTGTGCAGCTCGAAGCAGTGGTGAAGAATCGTTCGTCGCCCAAACCTGTTGTCCGTTCCTGAAAAGCTTGGCGCTTCGCAACTGACCAACCACAAGGTTCCTGTCGTCAACGCTCGCAAGCTCAATGAATACCATATTATTGAACTCTCCCATGGCGTACATGTTGATTGGCACTGGTGCGCCTATTCGTTGTATTTCTTGTCTGATCCAATTATCTGCGGCCTCCAAGTTGTCGAAATTGTCGAGGTTGCCGACGACGGCGGTGATGTCCCTCTTATCTATGATGTTGGTGCCGTGGGTTGCAGGTGTTGTCGGTCGCGTTGGAGTAGCTCTCTGCTACTTCATCGCTTCGATGTCCATCTCAAGCTGCATTGTTTTGGCGTTGGTAGTCAAGTCTACTGTCACCGCGGAATTTGCTGATGACGGCCGATGCTGATACACGATTGGTAACGTCGTCGGTGGATTCTTGGAAAGGTTCCACTGCGGTGTCAAGGTCTTTTCGCGAGATTCCATATGTCTTGATGGCCGTGATGTCGTTGCGGATCGGTTCCAACTGTTCGTTCAGGATGACTTTGAGCGTCTCTGCACTGAGAGGTGCTCCAGAAGCCACGTTGGTGATCGCGGTGTTTTTCTTGTCGGCGTCATTCAGCTGCTGTTCGGACTTCGGACAGGGCTTGACGCAAGCTGGTGCCTTCTTGGTCGACCTTGAGCGGCGAGTTGCCAGTGCGGGCCACTTTCTCCTGCCCACCTTTCAGTGCCGAGCGTCGCGGCTCAGGAGAAAAAAATATATGCTTTTCCGGCATGGCCACAGCAGCCCACAAGAGTGGCGTAAGAGAGAGCGGAATTGTGCGATGGAAAGGGAGTAGTAGGATGAGCGGATGCCTTGAGCGGATGCCTTGAGCGAATGCCATCTTGAGCCAGAATGGCTACGCGTGAGGGGTCTTGTGGAGGCCGCGTGGGCCGCCTTGGAAAGCCTGGGTGCACCTGGGGCCAGGGCACTTATCGCGGCACCGCGCCACCCAGCATCGCCTCGCCACCAGCATTGGACAAGCACGTTCCACCAAGCGCGAAAAGGTCTTTAGTTTGGGTCCGCCCCCCCCCTCCCTCTCGGCGGTGAATCGGACTGGTCCTAATACCTTCTCCTCATCCTCCTCATCATCCTCCTCATCCTCCCTCCTCATTCTCCTCGTAGTCGAAGTCGTAGTCGTAGTCGTAGTCGTACCTGTCGTCGTCGTTGTTGCGCGGCGGGTGCCACGGAACAAAAATTAGTTATCCCCTACCGGTGGGACCATAGTCCTTCGATAAGGCCGCCGAAATATCGGCAATTACACCCTATGAGGGGGGGTCGAAAGACCTTTCAGGGTTACTCGCAAAGTGAACAACTCGCAAATGGCCTGGATCCGCCGCAAGGGGATCTACGATCCAGCACGCCGAGGCAACCACGTGCTGCTCGGACGCTTGCCGGAAGGCACGTTGCGAGCAGTGGAGAACGCGCTCGGTGAAGCACGGTGGAGCCCCCGGGGCCGGCGCCTGTTTCTGCCTCGGCGGCCTCGCGCTCGCTGCTCCTGTAACGCGCGCGGGGCCGCGCAGGTAACTGCATGCATGCCGGGGCCGGCGCACACGCCCTTCGGCGCTGTAGACGTGGCGCCCCGCCCGGCGGCTGTGGCAGGAGGTCCTCCGGCCCGCGCTTCTGGCGAGGGGGAATTCAGGGCCATCCTCAGAACCCCATCCCTCAGGACCCCATCTTCGAATCACCGAGAGAGGGGTCAAGGGCTCGACCGAAGCGCTGTTGTCCGTCTCGACTTGTTGTCGTGTTCCCCCGTGTTGACCTCGCTCCGCCCGTGCCGCAAAACAACATCGAAACGAATTCGGTTCACGAAATCGCCGCAACAACGTTCAGGCCGAGCCCAGGATAGTTCGGGGATCCCTGAACTCCGGCGGTTCTGGAGGCGCTACAGCCGTTCCATAGCGCTCTCAGAGCGCTCTGGAATGCTATGGAACGATTTATCCCTGGCCTAGCTTTATGTCGGGCATGTCCTCCGACACGCGGATGTTGGACAAAGATGCAGACATAATCGAAAAATCGCCCCCTGATTATTTTTTAACTATTTTTCAACATTCTCCCTGTAGAGGGACATGCCCGACTTAATCCTAGCACCAAAAGGAGGGGGAAGGTTTTTTCAGAAGGCAGCAGGGATCCTCGGAAGTCCCCTGACCTTCCGAGACGCCGCCTGCGTCTTCGGAGAAGGCTCAGGCAGCTTCTCACAGGGCCGGAGGCCTCCTGAGCCTGATGAGAAGGCCCGTCCCCTCCGTGAGAAGGCCCTTCTGAAAAGGACGCCCCCTGAGCCGCCTGAGAAGGCCCTTCTGAGAAGGCCGCGCCCTCCTGAGCCTTCCGAGAAGGCCCGCCCCCTCCTGCCTCCTTCTGAGAAGGCCTTTTCTGAGAAGGCCCTTCTGAGAAGGCCCGCCCCGATAGCGTGGACTCCAGGGGTCCTCCTCCTCCTCCTCCTCCTCCTCTTCCTCCTCCTCCGCCTCCTCCTCCTCCTCCTTCTCCTCCTCCTCTTCCTCCTCCTCCTCCTCCTCCTCCTCCTCCTCCTCTCCTCCGCCTCCTCGTCCTCCTCCTCCTTCTCCTCCTCCTGAGGTCTGCTGGACCCATTCCCAGGGGGCAGTTTTTCATTCCGCGCCTCGCGCGGCCGCGCGGAGGGGGGGGGGGGGGGGGGCACGGGTGATCCTGTCCGCAGCGCGCAGGGCAGCTCCTCCCCCTCTTCCCTCCTCCTCCTCCTCCTCCTCCTCCTCCTCCTCCTCCTCCTCCTCCTCCTCCTCCTCCTTCACCTCCTCCTCCGCCTCCTCTTCCTCATCCTGCCCCTCCTCCCCTCCTCCTCCTCCTCCTCCTCCTCCTCCTCCTCCTCCTCCTCCTCCTCCTCCTCCTGCTCCGCCTCCTCCGTTCCTCCCAAGTTGTGCGTGGATAGCCCCGACGCTCGAGGTCTGGACCCCTCCCCATAAGCCAACACTAATAGCGGAAGACTGGGTCCGTCGGCGTCGTGCCCCCCCTTGGGCGCGCCGCCGGCAAAAGAGGTGCCGCAAGAGCCGTGTTCCTCGAATGATTAGAAGGGGCTGGCATA